GCAGAGTGGGAGCACACGCTGAGGCTCATCGGCATCGGACCATCATTGGTGCAATCCGACGGCTAAAGCGAGGCGCGAGCCTCCGCCCCAGCAAATGTGTCAAGTGAAGGCATTGATCAGGGGGGCAATAGCTCGAAATATCCACATCGCCTGTTAGTAGAATTCTGCTGTTCATCGACGTCCAAACTAGGTGAGAAGCGTGAGCCAGCAAAGAACTGCAAGGTACTCCGCGTCACTGAAAACGAGGACGGAACATCAGAAAGCTGCCGACAATGGCTAGCCCAGGAGATTGAATCTGAAGCGTTCAAGAAAAACCACCCAAATGGAATGATATTCTTCTACGCGTCACTCCCATGCACCGGAGGCAGTCCCTGGACGAATGTGAACAAAGATCTGCCAAACGGTAGCGAACGGATTGCGGAGCAGCAACAACTATTCGGTAAGCTATTCAAAAGCTTTAAGCGCTGTGTTGCAAATGCCAGCCCGCACAAGCCAAGCGTAACGTTCGAGCTCTCAAAGAATTGCAAGTACTGGTCATGGCCCAGCGTGCAGAAATTCATCAATGACTATAAGCTACAACACTACACCTTCCATGGATGCCAGTTCGGTCTTAAGGGATTGAGTGGTAGACCTTTAAAGAAAGGATGGAAGATAGCTACTGATGTATCACAGCTTAATGCGCTTGATAGATTCACGTGCGATGGTAGCCATACACACGAACAGTCCAGAGGCAAATCTTTGAAAATTGCTGAAGGCTACGCGTTTGAGTTGACAGACACGTTGCATGAGGCATTCCGTTTGTGCTCCGTAGAGTCTTCGAGGCCCAAACCCATTTGAGCAGCCGTTTGCCTCGCAGCGCCCATCATGACCGAGCGTGAGCGTCACTACTCCGAGCGCCAGAAGGAGATCCTCCGTGGATGGGATACGCTATTTCAGAGGCTTCTGACAAGCTCAATCTTTGCTGATGTTGGGCAGGATCAAGGCGCTCAGGAGATGGCTTTGGGCTCAGCCCACGACCACACGGCGCAGTCCATGGTCGACACCTGGCGGGAAAGCTATGAATGCGCGCAGCACATCCTGAACCCATTCATCGACGTCGAGGCCAAACAAAGCACTCTAGCTTACCACCGCCCGCCGTCAGCAGTGACAGGCCCAGTGTACCAAGTGCTTGTGAGCGACAGTACACTGGCAATGGTGTCAGGCGGAAAGAAGACTCGTGTATGTCATGACTTGGAACGAGCATTTCACGACAATCGATGCCGGCGCGTACTACAATTTCACCACGAAATGCACTGGGGTGCCGAGTTGCGGACGCTCATCAAGCGCGCCATCACTTGCGCAAGAGCCATCCGCAAAGATGCGCCCGACGCTCGCATTTACGTGAACGTGGTGTGGGCCGGCAACGAGCTCGTGGGAGAGAATGGGATCGTGTCTACCAACCGATATCCCTATGCAGAAGCAAAGGGCGACCCTATCAAAATCCAAGCCGACACCAAGAGGCATTTGACCTGGTATGTCGAGCAGGGTCGGGAAGCTGGATGCAATGTCCTAGCCTTGTCGTGCATTCCAAACGCAAACATTTATGATTTGCACAACATCTACACGCACTTCGGCAAGGACATCAAGCACTGGTTCCGAGAGACCTTTGCGGAACCGGACGTCGTGATCATCGATCTGGACCCGCTTTTGTGGCAGATGGAGTTGAAGGATCAATATCACATGACTTTTTGTGATAAGAACCAATCACGGGTTCTAAGCTGGTTTAACGCCAACTTTTACATCCTTCACCTGTCCGCCATCCTCTCGCCCTATGCGCCCGAAATGATCAACTCCAATCGGCGGAATGGCGCGGGAGACTTGAAGGCGCTAGACGCAAGTCTCAGCCCATTCACGCCAGCCAGCGAGGAGTACCGGCAAGCATTGATGTGATCCATCGAAGGGAGGAAAGCAAGAAGCGTATTGAAGCGGCCTCCAGGCCATTAAACCGTCGAAGAGGTTCGCCGTGAACAGCCAGATCTCGACGAGCACATGGAAGAGGAGGAAATCATGGAGCTTCCAATTGCTGTGGCCGCCAAGCCAGAAGAGCCGATGGATGATGATGCTCCACCAGTGACCATCGCCCGCGCAGAAGTGAAAGAAGAAAGGGATGATGAAGAGGAGCCTGCGCCGGAGGCAGAAGCTGCTCAGTCAGTGCAGCCCCCACAGGCTAGCCCGAAAGCAGAAGCGGCACCCTCAGCATCATCTGCTCCCAAGAAGGAGAACACTCGTGCAGGGCGAATCACCAAGGAGGAATGGGAGACCATGCTCATCGACAGCCAGTTCGACGAGACGTACATCACCAATCATCACCTGAATGGTCAGGCTGACTATCGATATACCGAGGTGGAAGATGTACATGGCAAGATCGTGCCCGGAGTGGTAGTTGATGGCCATCCCTATGAACTCATCCTCATCAGCGGCTGGGACTTTAGCCCCCCACCAAGGTGGTACCGATTGCCACACTGGTTGAAGAGTCATTTGACGAGGGCATCTGGCATCTTGCGAGGCAATATCACTACGAATGACTGGGATTCGGAACATGACGAAGATAGGTTCCTTGACTTGAACCAGCTTGTCAGTGCACTCTTCGCTGAGTTGCCCGAAGCCCGCATGAAAGTGACGGACCTGATGCACATGGCAAAACTTGACAACAAGAACAGGTTCGAATTCCTCGCAATTGCCGGCCACCAGAGAGCAACAGGAATCAACCAAACATACTGGCCACTGAAGATAAGGGCAGCAACAGGCCACAACAACGTGTTCATTCGCTCGGAGAGTGACTTGTTCTTCAACGCCGACTGTTTACGTCCGACACCAGGACGCCGGCAGAGATCTCTCCGATTTTCGCGGCACTGGCGTGCCAGTTATGGAGAGCATCGAGGATGTCCCGCCATGGCCTTTCACAGGACGTTTCATGCTGCAATCAAGGGCATTCAGCAAGACGGCCTGCTGGTTGGTGGTGGAGCCCGGCGCAACTCCGGCAGAGCCCACATCTATTTGGCTCGAACTCAGATTCGCCAAAATGAAGTGGTGCCTGGAAATCGGAGGCTCAATCCGCTCGAAGTTGTGGTTGCTCTGCGTGAGGCAGTAGCCGATGGCCTGATCTGCTTTACGACCAAAGCGGGTGCCATTTTGTCACCTTACAATATCTCGAGCGCATATATTGTCCACATCCGGGATACCGAGAAGGACATCATCCTCTGGTCGAGGTCCAAGGCGACAAGAGTCATCCCAAAGGCGCCGGCAGCCTCCCGCGAGGGAGCGCCCACTACTGCACCTTCGGCAAGCCCTTGTCAGCCCAGAGCCGCCTCAGGAAGTCCAGCGGGAAAACATCCCGACTGAGGAGATCATGTGCCCAGGATGCGGTGCAAACCTTGTCAGCGGCACCATTGTGTGTCCCGCATGCAATACGAACATCACCGGCACATCTGAGGTGAAGCGTGGCATCCTCGCGAAGAGAAAGGAGCTGCTCAACAAGCTCGGCTACAAGTATATCTTGATGCTGATACCGTCGAGAGAATCGGCAGCCAGAGCAAGCAGTTCCGCGCGGAATCTGCCCGAGGTAATCGCAGCCCTGAAGGCGATTACATCGGAACTGCAAGACAGCAGCTGAAGAGAGCCATCGGCCTGGGCTATACATCGATGGCCGACCGCTATGAGAACGACGTGCAGTTCGTTGAACGGATGACCGAGCACAATATTACATTGCTCGACATCCAGTTGCGCGACATAGTGGCGCATGGCCATCTCCCCACACCTCCACGCACTCGAGCACAGGTTGATCTGGGAGTGGGATTGCGTACCGCCAATGACCTGGATTTTGCAAAATTAATGTACGTTGACGAAGACATCGCTCACATTACCAGCAATGATCCAGCACTCTTGGAACGCTTTGAACACTCTCATTGGGTGATCATCTGGAAGTGTGAGCTCTATAGTCTCAAGGAATTGCAAGATCTCTGCGATCACCGCAAGACCCGGGGAAAAGGTACCAACCTGTTGACCTTTACCTGCGTCATGGAGGTCATTGAGACGCCTACCTTAAGAGAGCTTCACGAGACCATTGACAACTCCCTGCTGGTAGCCCAAGAGCTCGCGCAAAGCAAGCGTCAGCAGAGCGAGCGGGCAGCTGAGAGGAACGCGGCCAAGGGTTGTGGCAAGGCCAGCAGAACTCCTGTTGCTGCGCCACGAACACCTCCAAAGGCTGCGCCCAGCCAAAGGGTTGCCCCAAATGCCGAGCCTGATGGAGAGAGCTCACCAAGTGCTGGCATCAATGCGATTGGTACGATCGACATTCGCCAAATGCAAAGTTTCCTCCGAGCCCACCGACTACATTGCTGCATCCACCTGCCCCGAAGACACCGCCGATCCCCTCACCAGCAACAACCACATTCCAAGTCGATGCCTGTGAGAGATGCAAGAGAGGGTGCTCTCCGCACAGCTCGTGCTGCTGCCCGAGAGTATCAAGACGGCGATCGCTGGGGAAGCTACACCTACTACCAGGGCCAATGGTGGACGCGCGACAGGTATGGGCGGTGGTCAACCGGAAGCTGGCGATCATACTAAATTCGAGCTGCATGCATTCTGAGCATATGCCATAGAGTGGTCTTTAAAAGAAGATCCACGCTGGCATCATAGCTTAGCCCGATCAAAGCTGCTAATTCACGCGTCGCTAGTGAAAGCAGAGGGGGGGTGTTGAAATACATCACCTAATCCTATGCTTTTACGCACGGTGCCAATTCTTGGCTCAAGCACGCAGCTCATCGCGACAAAAAAGAGCGCTAGCAGTTGCAGCTTAGCGGAATTTGATTGTATTTTAGTGGTCGAGCCTGAAAATACAATACACACACACACACCCAGCAACGTTGTTGATCCTTGGAACCCATTCTTCTACTTAAGGGCAACCTCCAACATCGTCGAGTTGCATCGACGTTAGATTTGCACCTTTGGTCACCACCCAGGTCTTGTCTTTGCCGGCATCCTGGTGCGACAGCCAGTGCGGGGCGGTGGGTTCAGTCATGTAGACGCTTGATTGATTAGACCCCCTCAAGTTGAGTTGTAAAACACTAATTAATCAAGGTCAAGGTCTACATTACTCCAGTTCACCCCAATACCCATCAAGATAAGAGTATGGCGCCATAACATGTAGACAAGGCTCCCGGTTGGATCGGAGAGCCCTGATCGGCCGTGTGAATGGTGGCCTGAATCGGGCGGAACATCATGCACGGGGCGATCTGAAACTACCCCTTCAGTAGCGACCTTGCTCCTAGTAGCGATGCCCTTTGTGCCTTCGTTGTTTACTTTTATGTAACACAGCTTTTGGGCTCCACTCGCTGTTGCACGCAGCAAAGTATCCCGTCCTTCCCTTGGAATCATGGCACGTTCTTCGTGGAAAGTCTTGAGCGTGGCTGCTGCGCTGATCGCGTTGTACAACTTTTGCAACAGCTTGAGTTTTGTGCCCGGGCCCTTGAG